GGCTGTACGAGTGGGGAAATATCATGGCAGGAAAAACATAATCGCTCGCCAGCACTCAGAGGAGCCATGATCTACCCACTGCTGGATGATGGACCCCCCCCCCCGCCACCCCTACGTGTAATCATGTCGGTCGTGGAGGCTGTTTGACCATACTTCGCCACGATGTGTTTGTTAAGGGGATTAGCCAGGACCGCTTTCAGATATCGCACGCCTCTGATGTCTGCCGTGGCCGGTTGCCCCCTGGTTGATCTCAGGTAAACAAGGTGAGAGTGTAGTGTGCTAAGCACTGCAGTAGCAGCAGTGTCACGCAGTTTAAGGTCCCGAGATTTAAAGGTGGCTGGAGTGGTGGCACAGTGGTTAGCGCGCTGCGTTGTGAACCCGGAGACCTGGGGACGCCTTCGTCAACCGGCACTGACCAGGGTGGTGAAGGATGGTTAAAAAACGACCGACATGGCGTGGAAATGCATTCATGAAGCAAGAGAAGGATAATGCCTGGTCATTCTGGAACTACGTTTGAACGTTTAAACAAAGGGAAATCATCATCATAATTATCACTGCTGGCGAGAGACAGTGGCGGCTGCTGGTGATGTCGATGATGACATCACCAGGCGGCGGGCGAGCGAGCGAGATTGCCGGTGGAGCGCTCACCATCTCCTCGCGCTGCGTGCGCCGCGTGGGCTCGTACGTGACGCGGTAGGAGGTGACGGGGCCCTCCGCCGGCTCCCACGTCACCTCAATGCTCATCGTCGTCTCGTCCGAGAACACCATGTTCCGGGGCCCCTGGGGCCCACCTGCCCACGGGGGGGGGGGGGGGGGTGAGGGGGGGGGGAGGATTGGGGGAAGGGGTGGGTGTCGGTGGAGATCCAGCCAGGGTCACTCTTGTGACAATCAAGGACACCCTGCCCTGCTCTCTACAGTCCTCCTGTGTGACCTTGATCATTTCCCTTAACACCCCCCACCCAGCACACACAGAAATGTGGAATTTCCACAACTGGCTTATCGGAACGAGTCTGATAATGCATTGCTATATTACCAAATCTCAGCCACTCATTTCCTTCAAGCCCACATCCACCTTGTCTGTTCCCAGACAGTCTCCCATCAGAGAGCTAGCCAGGCTTAAAAAATCATGCTGAGCATCCGAGATCCCAGGCGATAATGAGCCTTCAGAGCGAATCGGCTGCAGGGAACGAGTGGCAAAAAACCACCCGAAGATGATATTCACCCCCCAAGCAAATCCCGCACGAACAGTTGAGGCTTTTGACCATCTCCATTTGGGACTGGAGCGTGCCATCTGATTACGATGACGGGGGAGGGAGGGTGGGGCAGGGGGGGGTGGCGAGGGTTCTTCTTACCTGGAACGCGGAGGGAGCGGACGTGTATGTGAGCACAGACGACTTGTCTCCTGCGAGGGACAAACGCGACAACACGGTTGGTCAACAATTCCCGCCCCCAAGTTTTCTGTTTCTCCGGTCTTTCTGCGACGACGAAAGGTGGGGAATGCGGACGGGGGGGGGGGGGGGGGGCGGGTCTCGTTACCGGTGGTGACGCGCCCCGACAGGGGAACTGCTTTCTGCCTCGGTCGGCGGGCACCGCCGCACGGTGACCTCGTACGGCGTCTGGGCAGCAGCTTCTCCAGCAGCACCGACGTCTGGTCCCCACCCAGCACCAGCTGACCGTGAAAAAAGACAAAAATCATTACCCACACCCCGCCGTCTTCTTGGTTCTTTCGGTAAAGTCACGTAAGAAAGGATCAAGAAGATGAATCCCTGAAGTCACGAAAGCTTTAATCGAAATTTAGCGACGAGTGCTGTGAGCGAGCGGTGCCTGTCACGGCTGGCACGGCGGTCGGTACCCCACTCCCCAGCCGCCGGTGTCTTCCCAGCGGCGGTGCTTACTCATCGCACCGGGTACTTATTTGAGGCCGAGTCGACCTAGGGGAGGCGATCTTCTTCATCTGCTGCTATTTCCCACGTGCCAACCTTGTGTGAGTCGACCGAAGGGACGGCGCCCAGGACCGGTTCAGATAATCGTCACTGGCGTCGTCGTCCGCGAGCAAAAATCGAACTCGTGTCACTGGGTTCATGGTGTGGCACGCGAAAAGCTACACTACCGCTCCCTCCGATCGCAGCTGCCGCCGCACGCACCTCACATCATCATCATCAGCAGCAGCCCCAGCCCTGATCTATCCGCTGCTGGACAAAGGCTTCCCCAAGCGGGTTGCGCAACTGTCGCAGCCCGATGTTTCGCTCCGCGAGCCGGGGGCACGTCGGGCGCCGCGTCCCAAGTCTGTTGGGGTCGTGTGGCGTTTCGTGGCGAAGGATTTGGGGGTGTGCGGGCAGGGAGGATAAATTCTCTAATTGTTTTGTTTGTCCGTGACCCCGGCACCACTCACCTCCTGGGTGCGGTCCGAGGGCGACGCGGTGAAGCGAACGCGGTACATGGTGACGTCGGGCGCCGCCGCGTCCCAGGAGACGCGAACGCTCTTCTCTCCCACGTCGGAGAAGCGCAGGGACTGCGGAGTCGGGTTCTTCACTGGCGGAGGCAACGGGGTACGGGGAGTGGAGAGCGTTAGTGGGGGGAGCGGGGAGCGTGGAGCGGGGGAGCAGGGAGCGAGGAGCGGGGAATGGAGAGCGAGGAGCAGAGGTGGCGGGGAGGTTGGTGGCAGGAGGCACGGACGACGCGTGGATGGGTGGTAGGCTTGACGTGTGGAAAAACAAGGCGCAAGAGGAGAAGATGGTGGATGGGCAGATGGATGCATGGATGGTGGACGGATTTAGTGGACGCACATGAATGCACAGGGTGAAGGAGACGTCGAGATAGGGACGGAGAGATAAAGTGTGGGAGATGACGACAGGAGGACATAGTGGACGGGACAAGGTGAAAGGGGAAAGAGAGGCAGTGCAGCCGCCAAGACCATGGTTGTGGATATGAACAGAGTTGTGCAGCTTCTTTTCCAGGGCCACCCGGCCAGCGGACAGTTGCTTAATTCAAGATGAAATACCGGCTGCAATGCTGCACAAAGTGAGCAGCACAAAGATAGACGGAGGCTGATAAGGAAAGTGGTGGTGGTAGCGGCGTTGGTGGTGATGGCGGTGGTGGTAGTGGCGGTAGTGGTGGAAGTGGCGGCGGTAGTGGCGGCATTGGTGGTGGTGGTGGCATTGGTGGTGGCGGTGGCAGGGCCGTTATGGCGTACGTGTCGTGCCGCGGCCCGCTCAGCGGCTCCGACTGGCCGTCCTCGGACACGGAGAAGACGGTGACGAGGTAGGCGGTGTTCGACTTGAGCCCCTTGAGCACGGCCGACGTCACATTGGCCCGGATGTCCTCCTGCGCCACAACGTAACGCACGGTGCACACCATGCCAACGGCGCTCCGCGAATTTCCCGACCCACACGGTCGGGCCTCGCAGGCCGCCCTGGTTACCGTTGAAGATCCCGTGAGCCATCACATTGCTGGTGGTCCAAATTTGCCAAGTTGACAGGGCTTCACCCACGGATACCTACAGCAGCGATCGTCGCCTCTGATAAGCGGGAGGGCTTAGCGTTTAGCGCCCGCCCGCAGGCCAGGTGGCTGGGTCACCTCGGGCCCCACAGGAGACACCTGAGGTGGTGGTCGTGGTGGTATCGCTTTGGCGGTGCCAATGTCTTAATATGGCCAAAGACAGTGAATCGTGAGATAACCGTGTAAAATACAAAACTACAATTGTTATTTAACCAGGTAAGTCCCACTGAGCTATATAGCTCTTTTGCAGAAGCGACCTCGCCACAAATGATAGCTCAATGAAGTGGCTTATCACCGTTTGGAATTTTTTAGCAGCCAAATACTCCAAACGCATGTTTCTGAATGTGGAGCGATAAACTGGAAGAAGCGACGACAAATCCACGCGACCACAGGAAGACAGAGACATGCAAACTCCAAATATACAGTGGGGGCATCAAACCCACGACCTCCTGTAAACCAGGCGAGGTAGTTAACATCTCGCTAACAAGTAATTAATTCGGATTAGCCGTATTAACAACATCTTACAATTTATGTTGGTGATGGCTGCGGCTACGTTGGCAGTGGTGCACAAGCACAGCCAACAACAACAACTCAACACGCTCGTCAAAAACAAAGGTGAAATTCCCGGCAAAGATGACATTCTTCATAGCACATAAATGTACGAGTCTGCCTACACGTGCTACGAAGGAGGGCCATTGCCCGAAACGTCCTATTAAGGCCCCACACACACAGTGTCATTGACCAACATAGTGAGTTTTTCTTCAGTGTATATACAAATCGCTACCGCTAAAGTTTCTACACTATGGGGACCTCATTTGCCAGTAAAAATATGATAATTGGTTCTTTACCCTTCTATCTGGCAACAAAACTGACACCTTTTTGCAAGGAGTCATGTTTGCATAGACCGCAATACCTGCAGTCATAAATACAAACAAAAGACATAACTCTGATAATGTGCACTGTCCTTGAAGTTGATTGGTCCACACCCGAGACAGCTTTCCTTCGAGCCTAGTCTCATATGGGTTGGACCAGATGACGCCAAAAGGCGCACAACTCAAGGACAATGCACCATCAGAGTATGAGAGCTCGGGGCAAGCATCTACACTATGGGGACCTCATTTGCCAAAGACAGTGAATCGTGCCCCGAGCTCTCATACTCTGATGGTGCATTGTCCTTGAGTTGTGCGCCTTTTGGCGTCATCTGGTCCAACCCATATGAGACTAGGCTCGAAGGAAAGCTGTCTCGGGTGTGGACCAATCAACTTCAAGGACAGTGCACATTATCAGAGTTATGTCTTTTGTTTGTATTTATGACTGCAGGTATTGCGGTCTATGCAAACATGACTCCTTGCAAGAAGGTGTCAGTTTTGTTGCCAGATAGAAAGGTAAAGAACCAATTACCGCTAAAGTTGTTTAGTAACTAATGCTAGATTTGAAGCTTTCGTGACTGCAAGGATTCATATGCTTAGGTTTTTTTCGGTAAAGTCACGTAAGTAAAAAAATGTAATTAATAAAAGTAAAATAAAAATAAAATAAAAATCACGACGTTTCGGAGGCAACACAAGCTTCCGTCTTCAGCACGATAGCTGTATACAGCTATCAATGAAGTGACGGCTCCACCTGAAGATGGAAGCTTGTGTTTTATTTTTATTTTACTTTTATTAATTTTAATTTCTTACCTACGTGACTTTACCGAAAAAACCTAAGAATATTGTTTAACAACGTCGAGCGGTACTGACTGCGGCGCATCGGACCGCCCCGCTCACTGGAGCCACCCCGTGCACCACAGCGGGAGGCCGGACGCTGCCGGTACCTCGATGGCGCCAGTGCCGTCCTCCCGCTCGTACAGCATGCGGTACTTCTTGACGCGGGTCGACGGCGCGTCCCAGGCCACGCGCATGCTGTTGTGCGTCACCTCCGAGATCCGCACGCCCCCGACCGGAGAGTGCAGCGGCACTGCGGTGACACGGCATCACCACCGGCTCACGCTGTGCCGCTGTGTCACCGGCCCCGACTGACTGCGGTGAACCCGTTTGGAATGCCGGCCCGAGCAGAGGCACCGGCCGCGCGGGGGTGGGCTATTTAAGAAATTCGGGGGTTGGAAGTTAGTTATTTATCAAGTTCACTGTGTGGCCACCGGTCAAGAAATCTTAAGATTTTAACTGATTTTTTTACAATTTTTATTTTACCAGGCAAGGTCCCACTGAGCTATAGAGCTTTTTTTCCCAATCGACCTGGCTATCAGAAATAATAGCTCAACGAAGTGGCTTATCGCGTGGAAATTCATAGCAGCCGAATACTTTCAATGCACGCCGATTCTAAATGGAGGGAAAAACCGGGAGGACCCTGAAGGAAAATCCACACAACCACGGGGAGAGAGACATGCAAACTCCAAGTATACAACAGGCATCGTGGTTCAGGATCAAACCCACGACCTCCTGCACTCCAGGCGAGGTAGTTAACATCTCGCCCAGGGAGATCAGATAGAACCGGCTGCCTCTGGACTGCGAGTGCAGTCTGCTGACCGTTACGTGATGGCAGCATCCTCTAAGGGCGTAAAAAGAATGATTATGATGCATGTAATCTTCTCATTATAATTATGATTATGAAATCAGTGTTGCTGGTCTGTCCCGGGCTGTTCGGTATATGTGCTGCGTGCGGTCCGAGTGGCGTGTGCTGTGTGCAGTCCGTGTGGAGCGTGTGACGTGTGTGATGCGGTGTGGTGCGTGTGGTGTATATAGTATGTGCAGTGCGGTGCGTGTGTGTTGTGGAGCGTGTGGGTGTGTGTAGTATATGCAGGGTGTGCTGTCCGTGTGGTGTGTGCGATGTGTGTGGTGTGTGCAGTATGTGTGTCGTGCAGTTTGTGTGGTGTGTGCGGTGTGTGCGGTGTGTGCGTGGTGTGTGTGTGGTTTGTGCGGTGTGTGCGGTGTGTGTGTGGTGTGTGCGTGGTGTGTGTGTGTGGTGTGTGTGGTGTGTGTGGTTTGTGCGGTGTGGGCGGTGTGTGCGGTGTGTGCGTGGTGTGTGCGTGGTGTGTGCGGTGTGTGCGGTGTGTGCGTGGTGTGTGCGGTGTGTGCGTGGTGTGTGCGTGGTTTGTGCAGTGTGTGCGGTGTGTGCGGTGCGTGCGGTGCGTGCGTTGCGTGTCGTGCGGTGCGGTCTCTACGCACGAGTGGTCTCCTGCACAGTGAGCGGCTCGCCGATCTCGTCGTCGTCGTACATGGCGTACAGCGTGACCACGTACTCCGTCGATGCCTCCAGCCCGTCCAGCAGGAAGTCCGTCACCTCCGGGCCCAGCTTCTCCTGCGTTGGGATGGCGAGAGGGGCAGGAGGATACAGCGACGGGGTGATGGGTAAGACCACCAGTCAGGTGAGAGCAGATTGGGAATAGAAATTCAGTTTTTCGACGTCGACCTGTGGGTCACGGCTTCGACGATGGCTCCGAGCACCCACGTAACACCGATTTTAAAATTATTTCATTGGTTTTTAAATCGTTGAATGGTTTGGCACCAACAAACATGTCTTCGATGCGTTTAAGATATGAACCAACAAGATCCCTCAGACGCTCTGGCTCCAGTCGTTAAGTCGTCCCAAGGGCCGGGACCAAAACTGACGGAGAAGACGACCTTCAGTGTCCTCGCCTGTGGAGCAGCCTGCCTGGGGATCTTAGGGCTTCACAATCATTAAGCAGTGTTTAAGTTTATTCTAAAAACTTAACTTTTAAAACGTGCTTTTACTTAAGATACTTTTGTGTTATTCTTTTATGTGCCTTCACTAGCAATTCATTATAATGTAATTTAGCTTTGAATGGAAATAGCTTTTATTGTTCTTGCGGTTTAGTCTTTTAATAATGTTTTATTTTACCTGTACAGCACTTTGAATTGCATATTTTACACGAAACAGTGCTATAGCAAGAAAGACGTTGATTGATTGATTATGGCTCTGAATGAAGTCCCTCCTCAATTGCTGCACCAATCTCACCAATTTACCCCCCCCTCCTTAAATACTCCTAGACCCCCCCCCCCCCCCACATCCAACATCTTCCTTCACTTCATCAGTCCAACGCGTTCTACGTCTACACCTCGAATCGCTCATCCATCATCAGCCACCATCTATCCGCTGCTGGATTAGGGCCTTCCCAAGCCGCGGCCGCCATCATCTCACGGTCGGTCTTAGCAGGTGTCTACAGAGTCGACTGTAATCCATTATTCGTGCCATCTCCATACAACCGCACGCTTCGCCCGACGGAGGAATTCTGGATTTTTCCACCAGGGCCTCGGGGCCTGCCGACAAACACGAAGCGTACGGCACATCAACGTTTGATGGAATAACGGCGTTTCTGCGGTGTATCAGCGACCACTTTAACCAGGAGCGGGACCCGAACGTTTTATTAATTTCTGCGAAAGGGCGGCATTCACGATGACGGTCCTAACGACGACGGTGGCGATGGGCTCACGGTGAGTGATGGGGCGCCCGTTTAGCAGCGTCAATCACACAGCGCAGCGTCAATCACAGCGCAATAGAAGATGACAACGCAATGTTTTGAGGCGGGTGACCGAAAATGTTTCATTGGCGTCATCGGCCATGATGTATCTGCTGCTGAATGGATGTCTCTCACAAGCCGTCTCTCACGATCTTCCAATGCGCCCAATCCCTCTGCCTCCGGTGTGCGCAGCGGATCCTATCGCTCCATCCCCGCACAGCAGATCCAATCGCTCCATCTCCGCACGGTGGTTCCGCCAAAGCCTCTTTTTTTGGTTGCACGAATTCAACTGCTCCATTGATTTATCTGGTAATCCCATCTCCATCAGCCATCATCAGCCATCATCTATCCACAGATGGATGGAGGCCTCCCCACGTCACTGCCATCTCTCGAGGGCCCTGCTATGCCACAATCAATTGGGGTTCCGCGCATGAGCTCATCTCGTCGCTCCTTCTCCGCGGCGGGCGGGACCTGTAGGGAATCCTTTTCATTTCCCTTCATTAAAATTGACGGTGGAGATAATTGCTCGTGAATGAGCACGCGCTGAGCGCACGTTTCCCGCCGCCGAGAAGGAAACCCCCGTGAGACGCACACCGACACGCGAGCGAGTGGAGAAATGAGAGCACTGGGTTGAGAGAGAGTGTGTGCGCACACGTGGCATGTATGTATGTTGAACTTCTCTCGCACCGTACACAGCCAATCGCGGCCATCCACCCCACCTCGTGTGCTGTGCCGGCCTTCGTGGGTGCTGCTCACTAACAGCACTTTCACCAAGAGTCTGTTAAGGCTATAGTGGGGAGCTTTGTCTTTGTAATTGTATATGCTGGCCACCCACCCCCACGTGTGCCGTGCCCATCTTCATAACTGCAGCTCGCTAACAGCACTTGCCCCTACAGCCTATTTAGGTGAGACGGAGGATATCTGTCTTGTGTCGTACTTGTATGTAAAGGGGAGCAATGGTAATGCGGTTATCTACCCAGCGACCCGAGTTCCATTCTCGCTCACGACAAAGTGCCGGTTATTTGAACCGTTCCCGGGCCTCCCCTAGGTCGACTCAGCCTCAAAATCTAGTATCTGGTGACTGTGCGTAATCATCGAGACTGTGGAGGACAAAGTTGGCCAGACGTGGTGTTTGGCCCCACGACCCCCACCGGTACGCAGTGCCGGCCTCTAGCAGCAGGGCGTTTGCTAACGGGCACGTGCCCCCAACAAGTGTGTTCGAGGCTGCGCGAGGGTGGGATCTTCGTCTCGGTGCGTGTGAGAGAGGCCACGACCCCCCGCAGTGCAGGCGGCTCGTCCCGCGGCAGGCTCCAGCGAGCGTAATTAGCAGCTGCGAAGCGAGGCCCTGCCTCCGAGTGGCAGCCAGAGGAGAGCTGCCGCATCCCAATGTCAAACGCAGATGCTTCGCTGGGCTTTGTCCCACTCTCTAAATTATTATTATTTTTTAAACATGTGCGTTTAATCCAGTTCTGGGAAAATGGAGCTTTGTTGTCTGTACACACACACACATCAGACGTCGAATGATATCACCCATATTGCCGTTAGCAGACCGTAGGAGCAAGTTGCTGTTAGCGAGCACCTATTAAGGCCGGCACCATGCGCGAGGGCGTGGATGGCCAGCGTCATGCCCGGCTGCCTTTGTCTTCCCAACGCAGGGCCTTCCTGAAAGGGTCCTACGACTCAAGTTTGTTTGTGCTCCTCGCGTGGCGTTTGGGCAACAACAGAGAAGACACCAAAGCTGCCCGTTTTAGTGTGGGAATCCATCTGGTGGCACCAGGAGTCGCTTGGTGTGCGGTGTCCATACCACCTGTGCAAAAGGTTAAAGGGCAGTGGCGCCGGTTATGCTCCCTTCACGGGAATACGCGGGGACTATCCGCACAGCATCGGTGTGCAGTCAGCAGAGATCGAATCCATTCCAGTCGAGGGTTCAACTCGGTTGGATGCAGTGGTAACCATTGCGTCTCACAGCAAGAAGGGGCCTGGGTTCGATTCCCGACTCGGGTGTGAAGTTTGTACATTTCTCCCCCCGTTTTGCATAGAAAACCTCTGAGTTCTCCACTTTTCTCCCATTGCAAAAACAGAACATTACGTAATAACCGATGTTGGCCAAATAACTTACTCAATTGTGATTACACACGGGCACGTAGCAACATCGTTACCCTCCTGCAAAAAGCCTGGACAGGGCCCTCCGGTGAAGCTCTCCTGGGTAAACAAAGCGCAATAAGCGATGAACGGAGTGCACTTTCGTCACGTTCACAAAAGGCAGGGGCGACTCTCTCCGCCTGAACCAACCGTGACTGAAGCATCCGCGCGCCCACGCCGTGCGTCTGTCCGACACTATTGTGCGCAAGCCCGTCGTGTTTTCCTCTGTCCTAGTAAAGCTTCAAAACTCGCGTGATGGAACCACCCAGGAAGGAAGAGGGGGGGGGGGGTAGACGTGGCTGAGTGACCACGTTTCTTAAAAAAAATATTTCTATGTTAAAATATAATCTCCCGTTAATTGAATTGCGTGATTGCAGGCAGCAGGGGAATAGTGTGGGTCGGCACGCCAGCGAACGGGTCCACTGGGGCCTTCCAGGGATACGGCGCCATCGAGTTGAGTAGATTGACACAAAAAAAATAAACAGTGGGCAATTTTACTTTATTGGGGGAATGTCCTTGCGTCGAAAGTAAAGCGCGGATTTCTTGCCCCTTGCGTCCAACTGTCGGATTATATTTCCTTCGCAAGAATACTCCCAGCTCTCGTAGAAAAAAAAAAAGCACAATTATAAAAAAAAAATGCAATTTACAAAAAAAAAATCGTAGGAAAAAATAAATGCACAATAATTAAAAACAACCTCACCATCCACATCTCTCATTATCGTCCGCGATCAGTCGCACTGCTGGACGACGGCCTACGCCACCAGATGTCGCCATCGCTCACGCTTCTGGTGATTATCAGCGCAAACAGCTGATTTCAGCGCTCCATCTCCACGCTGCACGTGCCCCCCTCCTTGCACCGGGTTCTCATTTTGCGGAGACGTTCGTAAATCCTAACTTCATTGACAATCTGCTTTTGGTCGATTATATCGTAGATTGTATTGGCTGCTGTAAATGTCCAATTTGATGACGAGCCACCTATCATTTGTGGCCAGGTCGCTGCTGAAAAAGAGCTGCATAGCTCAGTGACAGCTGCCACACAGTGAACTTGACAATAACTAACTTCAAACCCCAGACTGCAAGTTTTACACAAGTCACAAAACTGCATAACACAGTACACAAAAAGCCCCATCAGCATTTCCTGAAGAAGTGCATTGTGGTCCGTTCGTCTTCAGGCAAACTGACAGCAGCTGCAGTGACGCAGTGGATAGACAAACCGTGGACCGGTTTCGTCCTTAATAGGACTCATCGGCACAGTATCGTCACCATTGGTCACTGCCGCAAAAGTCTTGCCTCTGGCCACCATGTATAGGACATGTGGGGTGCAGAATCTTGGAGCAGCGCCGAGCCCTCGGAACCCCACCCCCCCCCCCCAGCCAGAACCTGCTGGCGGCGTTGCCGAACACAAAGTTCACCGTCGTGCAGAAATGTTATCTCCCTCGCCCGGTAGGACTGAGAAATCAAAAACCCGTCCGGGTTTGGCCTAATACCAACTAAACTCGACGGTTTCATCAACAGCACTACCTACGAAGGGCAAACTTTTCCCAGGCTCCGCTTTCCACGAGAGAAGCCGAAAGATAACGTCGCCGCTCACGCACCCTGACAGGAGACTTGCCAAACCAGAGATAGTTGATTTTATTTTTTTAAGTTCCATTCATTTTCATTACTGCCAGAAAAAAAAATTGTTCGTCTACGTTCTTTATTTTGTGATTTTTCATCGGTGCCGTTGCGAATCGACGATCCGAGCGTGGCCACACGAGAACTCGCCACATGTGTGGCCCCCGTCCGGGCCACAGTGCCAACAATGGCCGCTGTAATGAGACGCAGACGGCTCGCACGGTCTCCTGGGTCCCCCCCCCCACTCCACCACCCCCCCCCACACACACAACGCTCGCTTCGTAATTCCCTCAGCAGGGCCTCGCGGAGTCTCGAGGCCATCTCATTGGGAGGGTCCTGCTACATTGGGGATGATGTTTGGCCAATCCCATTGGTGACGACTTGGCTTTGCGTTGGCAGGAAACCGGAGAAACCGGACAAGAAGCCACCACAAGTAGGACGGAGGTGGGGGGGGGGGGTAATGCTCCAAGTTCAGCACAGACACGATTCAAGAGTCCATTGTACTGCCATCCCTTTGTCAACTTGTGAAAAAGCATCGCGCAGTCGCCAGGCTTCTATCGTGCTCATTGGGCACCATCTCATAAGATCGAGTGAAGAGAGGATGATTTAGCGGGAGGCACGATGCCCGGGCGTCCTGGTATTGCACAACGAGTTGGCACACAGCGGTGGTGGCGGCCGCGGAGCCTCGCTCGTGATTTGTGTCCGTGCTTCAGGCCCCTGGGGCCCCCCGACCCCTACCCCTCTACCCCACATGGTGAGAGCAGTGCCGTGCACAGCGCTCAACGCTAATCCGCTCCATCTCCCTGGCGCCTCCGTCTACGTGCTGTGGACAAGGGCCACTGCCCCTGAAACGTCACCCATCGTTACATATTTCTTTCCTTTTGAATTGAAAACTAAAACAAACTCATCAACCCTCATCAACAACACGGCCTAATGAAATAATAATAATAATGAAGTAAATAATGGGATCAGTTTTTGTGACGTTTTACGCAACGGCCCTTCTTCGTAGCACAGAGAGCAGTGTTCGTCATTGCAAGGCCCGCGTGCCACTAGCGGCCCCTGGTGGGCTTCAGTGCGGCCCCCGGCAGTACAACAAAAGGTGAAAACGCCCATTGCGGGCGGTGTGGCGGCCCTCTCACTGATGATGTCTTACATTTTGACTTAAAACTACAGGAATTCATATGCTATGGTTCTTCCAGTAAAGTCACGTAGGTAGAAAATAAATAAATAATAACAATAAAATTATAATAATGAAAATAAAGTTTATAAAAAATAATACAAATATCACGACGTTTCGATCGCAACACAAGCGGTCATCACCTCCCCCCCCCTCTAAATAATGTGCGAAGAACACCGACATAGAACGGAGAGGAATCTTTAGTCTTCGGATGCTGCGATGCCCTCCCAGAATGACAGAGAGAGAGAGAAAGAGAGAGCGCGCGAGCGGGCAGACGGGGAAGACGAAAAATCCGGCCTTTTATCCGGGCAGACGCGAGTGACAGACGGACGCACCTCCTTGTCGCCGTCCTCGTCCTCGCCGCTGCCGACGGGGGCGTAGGTGAGCGTGTAGCCCGTGGCGCCCTCGGCCTCCTCCCACTGCACGCGCATGCTGCTCGCCGTCACGTCGTGCACACGCAGCTCGGGAATGGATGAGCCCAGGGACGCTGCCACACGCACGTGGGAGGTGGGGCACAGGGGAAGGGGGGAACAAACACAGGTCAGAGATACTCAACTAAACTCTTACTGAACTCAACAATATATTTATTTTAGCAGGTAAGACCCGCTGAGCTAATGTATAGCTCTTTTTCAGTAGCGACCTGGATATCACAACGAAGTGGCTCATCACCGTGTGGACATTTGCAGCGGCTAAATAACTCTCGACGCACGTTGTTGATTCTAAATGTGGAGGGGAAAAAGCGGAGGACCCGGAGGAAAAAATCCACGTGACGGCTAGGACAATGCGCATGGCTTCAGGGTCAGGATCGAACCCACGACCTCCTGCATACCAGGCGAGGCAGTTAACATTTCCGAGCCACCGTGGCGCCCTGGGACAGGACACGTCGCTAGGAGACGGAGCCACGGGGGTCAGCTCCCGCGCCGGGGGCGAGAGACGCACGGAAGCAACGGCCTTGCTCCAGCAGCGGATAGACACTGACTCATGGCGAGGATGCACAGCACGGGCTCTGCAGTCGGTGAAGGGAGATGCCGAGCCTTCGCTGGAGATACAAATCCGCTGTGCCAAATGGAATTCCCCGTCGCTCTCCACGCACAAACGCGCCGCGGTTCTCAACAACAAAGCAAGTGCTTGTGGATTGTAAAAGACATGGGGGGGGGGGGGTGAGGCGGGTGGGGGCTGGAAACTAAATGAAATTAAACATCTGAAAAAAATCCTCAACAATGAGACATTCACTGTGAGATGACAAACGGTCACCGTGAACAACTACGAAGGCCGGAAGGGCACGAGAGGGGGTGGGTGGCCAGCACCACGCCCGGCCACCTTTGTCTCCCTAGTAGCGGTGTTTACTACACACAGCATCAGGTACTCATTTGAGGGCGAGTCGACACGGGGGAGGTGCAGGCCCAGATCAGATAACTGTCACTGGTGGTGGTGGCCGTGAGCGGGAATCGAACTCGGGTCGCCGGGTTCGTGGCGCAGCGCGCTCACTCACTCACTCACTCGTGTCACCGACCATCACATCTCTCACCACCACCCCCACCCCGTGAATTAACTTCACGGCCAACTGTTCATCTGCAGCAGCACAGCAGCAAGAGCAGCAGCAACACAGCAGCAGGAGTAGCAGCAGCAGCAGGAGGAGAAACAACAACAGGAGCAGAAACAGCAGCAGGTGCAGCAAGAGTAGCAGCAGGAGTAGAAACAGCAGCAGGAGTAGAAACAACAGCAGCAACAGGCGCAGCAGGAGCAGAAACAGCAGCAGCAGCAATGGGAGCAGCAGCAGCAGCAGCGACTGCGGCATTCCCAGCGGATCTCTCCGCGGCCGCAAGGCGCGACAGGGAGAGCCGCACGGCCGGGGAGCCCCGGGGGGTGAGGGGGGTGGAGTGGCGCCCATGGGAGCGGTGCGAGCGCTCACGGCGGACTCCGCGACGTCGCCGGCACCCCGACCCGGCACCGCCGCTGCGTTCGCGCTCTATCGCGATACGTGCGCACGCGCCGACTCTGCTTTGCTTCAGCCATTGACCTTTTGCGCATTCTTTGCGCTCTAATTCTAAACAGCGCCGGCCGGCTCTACCAATCTGCTGCTTTGTTTCTCTCTCTCCCCGTTACATTTTTTTTTCTTCCTTTTGCAAACGCTCGTAAAAAAAAAATTGGTTTTACACTTAACTGGTACGCCTTTTTCAGGGCGTACTCTGCAGATGGACAGACCCGTGATTATGAGATTGCGATATTGAATTCAATCGGCGATAAATCGTCCTTGTCGTTGTTATCTTCACCGCGTTTTTGGTTTACTCCAAATAAACATTTTCTGGCGCGCTATGCTTCCAAGAGAAATACCGTTTTAAAGTTGTGCCTCTCTCTGCAAAGGTGAAAGGTTGTATCAACGTGGCCTTCTCAGGGTGCTCTGGTTTCCTCCACCACGTACGAACACACATTCATTGGCCGAAAACACCTTGATATATAGGGGACGGCAGAGCTTGGGGATGTCTGGTGGCTCTTGCTCGCTCTCTTTGAGAGCAGGCGGAAAACCGTGTGGTGCCTTGCAAGTTGAATTTATATTAATAACTCGCCTTTTGCCCGTCCAAGGAGCAAATCTGAAACTTGCAAGCGAAAATCAGACCGCGACGTGATATATTCATTGCATCCATTCGTGTGCAGTTTGTAAGGGCGTGGTAACACAGACCTATTTAATTTTAAGGTTATAATCCCTTGTTCATCATGACGTCCTTTTTACTTCTGTCTCAACAGCGTTGCAGAGATCGCGTGACGTGAGGGTTCTGCCTTTGTAGTGAGGGTTGTGAGTCGACGCCGAGGAGGGGGGAGGAGGCGCCTCGGCCCCCCATGTGGAGTGACGTCACCTGCTAATTGTTATTACTGGGGGGGGGGGGGTGTCCATTTGGAGGATGTCACCTTTTCATGATTATTAATGAGGGGGGCTGTTCGATGAGGAGTGACGTCACGAGCGTTAAGGACAGACATTCCTGGGTGATTATAGTAGGTATAAGGGGATAGAGAGTCGGTGCACATTGATCGCCACTGCTGCTGCTGCCGCTGCTGCTGCTGCTGATGTGCATAGGCACGACGATGATGACGATGGCGGCCGCAGTCCATACCAAATTAATGTACAGCGTTGTGGGATTCGATTAGAATGAATGACGCTATATAAAGTTACATTATTATTAGGAGGAGAAAGAAGAGGAGGTCATGAGCCACGCTGTTGCTGCCGCCGCTGCTGCTGCTACGGTAAGCCCCTGACCGCGAGCTGCCACACTGACCGTAGCGAAGGGGAGATAGCGGTGGACGGACGAGAGCCGGGGTGCCGTGGCATGGTCACCGATGGCGAGGCGGGGCGCGTGACGCTCACCAGTGGTCTCGGTGATCTGCGAGCTGTTGCCGGAAGCTCCGCCGACGGAGAGCGCCACGACGTGGAGCCGGTACTGCGTCTCCGGCTGCAGGTTCTGCAGCAGCGCCGAGCTCTCCGAACCCCCAACCAGAACCTGCGGGCGGCGTCGCGGAACAAAAGCCACCGTCACCGTCGTGCGCCGACGTTATCTCGCTTGCGCCGAAGACGACTGAGAAACACGTGCGGGTTTGGGGCCTACGGCGGATGAAGGTGGCAAACCCTCCCACGGGGACCTACCTCCTCCTGTGGGCCGCCCTCGTGCGGCCAGTAGACCACTCGGTAGCCGGACACGGGGCCCACGGATTGCTTCCAGTTCACGCGGAAGCCGCCGGCGGTCACGTCCGACGTGGAGAGGCCACTCGGGGGCAGCACCGCCACGCCACCGTCGCCCCCGCCTGCCAACGGCGCGCAGGTTAGGAGGTCACTGGGGTTAACGGTGCGGGGGGGTGGGGAGGGCACGTGGTGGGGGCTTGGCGGGGTTGGGAGCTCTGCCCCCTGCCACGCGGCGAGAGGGTTGGTACCACCGGTCGGAGGTTGGTGATGCCAACTTTGCATTGCTGGCGACGTCGTGAAGTTTACCGACGCAGCGGTAACGGTGACGTCTGTACGCGTGGGCAACGTGTGCAGCTTTACAATTGAGATTAATAAATTGTGTGTCTATATGTGTGTGTGTATATGTGTGTATGTGTGTGTATGTGTGTGTATATGTGTGTGTTTGTGTGTATATGAGAACGCATCTCAAGACACTTCGCAGGAAGAGGGGGGGGAGGAGGAGGAGGAGTGGGGGGAGGAGGAGGGGGGGGAGTGAGGGGGAGGGGGAGTGAGGGGGGGGGAGTGGGAAGGAGAGGAAGAAGTGGAAGTATAAGAATGGCAGAGGGGGAGGAGGAGGGGGAGGACCCCTGAAGAGGAGAGCGATCGGACCTCGCAGCGCGGTGAAGAGGATGTCGGCGCGCGAGCAGACGACGCGGGTCAGCCCCTCCACGATGGCCGCCATCCCCGTGAACTCGGAGGCCTGGTGGACGTGCGTGGCCACCGGCTTCGAGGCGATCGCCCGCAGCTCCTGCTCGTCCGCGTTCTTCACGCCTGCGACAAGACGAGCGAGCTCAACCCGCGGCTCCGTGCGCCCCCCCCCCCCCCCCCCGCGCACAAAGACGAAGTTATACCCACCGCCTCCGACGATGTAGCCCACACAGGCTGTCAGGGCAAGTGCTGTCAGGGCAAGTGCTGTCAGGGCAAGTGCTGTCAGGGCAAGTGCTGTCAGGGCAAGTGCTGTCAGCGAGTAGCACCTCCGAAGGCCGGAATGGCACGCGAAGGAGCGGGTGGGCCAGCACCATGCCCAGCCACCTTCGTGTCCTCCCCAGTGACGATGTTTAGACACCACACCAGGTACTCATTTAAGGCCGAGTCGATCTTGGGGAGGCTCAGGATCGGTTCAGATAAATACACCACCACAGTACCCTGTGCCAGGCTATGAGCGTGGACAGCTCACTGGTAGGAGACCACGGGACAGACCCAGGCATTATAGGTTAACGGATGACTGGTACATACGGACAGACAAACGTGAGTACAAAGACAAGGATCTCCCCCGTATAGCCTTAACATACTTTTTAGGGCAAGTGCTCTAAGCACCAAATACTGATTTGAGGTTGAGTAAACCTAGGGGAAGCCCATGATTGATTAGGATAATCGTCGCTGGTGTTGACCATGACCGGGAATCGAACTTGGTCGCCTGGTCTGTAGTGCAATGCACAAGCACACAAAGACAGTGGAGCCTAAAGCAAGTGCTGTTAGTGAGCACCTATGAAGGCCGGCACGGCACACAAGGCAGTGGCTTGGTGATTTTTACACACCGGTTCAGGTACTAATTTGAGGCTGAGTCAACCTACGATTGAGGCCAAGGACCGGTTCACGCAATCATCGCTGGTGTTGGCCGCGAGCGAGAATCGACCTCCGGGCCGCCGGGTTCGTAGCGCAATGCACAAGTACACACACACGCAGGTAGACAAATACAGAGAGATAAACGGGGATGGGGGAGGGGGGCATGCGGTGCCGCTTACCGATGGCGAACAGCTCCACCCCCCGGCTCTTGAGCTCCGCCGCCGGCTGGGCCACGTCGTCCTGGGACTTCCCGTCGGTGATGAGAACCACGATGGCCGGCACCCCGGGGCGAGCGCCGGCCTCGGGCTTCAGGTTCTGCAGGCGGGCGTGCTCCAGGGCCATTCCTGCGGGGGAAACGGGGGGTCATTGCGTGCGTGTCACGCGCCGCGTGCGCGGCGTGGCCATGGGGGGCCGCCTCTGTCGATCCACTGCTGGATGAGGGCCTTCCCAGGTTGTGCGGGTTCCTGGGCATCGCTTGACCTGCAAACTTCGTTGCACCGAAGTACGGTGTAACAACGGGGTATCGCTGCGACGCCCTCTGGTGCCCACCGCGTCGCCCGTCCGAGCGATAGCCAGGCTCAAACCAGCTTAGATTCAGATCGGACGCATTCCATCGCGATTTGGCATATCGACATATTTGGATTATAATCAAAATAGCCTCTTCGTCTATCCACTGCTCGATAGAGGCCTCTCTACTCCGTGTCGGTTATTGGGGCTGTTTGGATGCTCTTTGGCTGGATGAAGTGGGAGGTGCCCAGGACCGGTCCGGGTGGATTACTCGCCACTGATGTTAGCCGTGAGCAGGGAATGAACTTCGGGAGTCGCGTTCATAGCAGTGTTTCAACTCCTACACCACCGCTCTCCCATAATTGGATAATTGGCAGGGATTAGTTGAGATGTTTTCGGGCCAGGGGTTAATTGCTCATAAGGTGGGGATTGTGATGGATAGCCGCAGGTGCCCTGAATGGTTTCGTGCAAGAAATGTCGTCAATCAAGTGTGCGTGCCAGTTCCGTAAAGAGTAATATAATGTTTTTATTTATCAAAGCACTCATTTACGAGTCTCAATCCCGTATTTGGGATTAATTTTACGAGTACTTTTTCCCCCCCTCCTGTTAATATATTGGGGAGTGTGAAATTTATGTTTTGTTTAGCAGTAGTGGCTATGATGATAGGCCACACGACACTTTGCCTCCGAGGGTAGGTTCTAGGATTAGTATAACATTTAATATTGTTTACCACAGTCGGGGGGCAATGTTAGAAATTTGCAATCTCGATTGATTCATTTTTCGGTCGTTTTTCAGCATTGAGATGTTTGGCCAGGACCAGTTACACTCTAGGGGTTTGTGTTTTTTTCTTTCAAAGCAACGGGTGGAAACCGGAAAGTTTGTGGAGGGAACCCACGCAGGAGAGGGTGGAGAACACGCAAACGCAACACACAGAAAGGTGGGAATCCAACCCAGGTGCTTGTTGCTGTGAGGCACAAGTGTTACCACTGGGCCACCCTGCCAAAAGGGTGCATCATTTAATCATACATATGTGAACATGCGTCTGCCTGGGTGTGATATTCATAAGTGCATCGGCTACGAGTTGCAGATTTCAACGTGTCTGCATGATGTTCGTGATCGTGACGTGTTCAACACTCACGTTGTCAGCTGACAGCCTGGATAGCCCTTGCAAAGCAGACTGTTCCATCTCAAGGGATTGTTTTGTGTCCAGGAGAAATATAAGAAGTCGTAAATATGTATATACTTATATATATAAACTAGTTCTGGCCAAATTTCAATCTAAATTAAAATGTTTTCAATCATCTACAGATGGAAAATAACGAGCAGATGGCCGTTGAGGAGTGGGGGGGGGGGCTTGGTCTGGACTGTGCACCACATGTTCTGGAAAATCCCGTCCCAACGAGGGTTTCCGCCGGGGGTGCGCCCCGACAGAAATGAAAGAGCTCTTTCCAACAGTCCTCTCGCTGCTGCTCCTTCGGCTCTCATCCGAATTCAACCACCTCCACACGGACGACATCGACCAGCCAAGGCCCGCCCCCGGCGACGCGAGCGCGCCCGTATCCCCATCGCGGCCGCGACGCCCATCTGGAAACCTTGCCCCCGTGTGTCATGAAGTTGTCACCGTGCATAAACACTCATCAATTGGCTGAGACCACATCAATAGAGAGAGGACTGCAGAGATTGGGCAAATTGTTGGTAGCTGCCGCTGCCGGCTCACCACCTGGCCTCCGTCCAAAGCAACATGCATCAACGACGCAATTATTATATATTTTAAAAGACTAAACGTTACTCTTATTATCATTGTGATATTGCAGTTTTACTCCTCGATAAGCGTCGCACTCGTCTCTCCACCCGAACAGAGCACGACAAGCGAACTAACAGCTCGCCGCTCTTCTCATGTGCAGGTGTGCAAGGGTGCCCCCGCCACGTTTGATCACGTGACAAGTCTGCCATCTAGTGGGTTAAAAAATTCGCAAAAGAAAATCACGTGTGGCAAGTTATTGCACACGAGTTACCAGTGTGCCATTTTTTTTAAAACCCAGAACACGTGGACGGGGATTTTCACGCCGCTCTCTTCTCTTCCGTCGGTCATCGCACGGCGGCCAACGCGGACGTTGGATGAAACTTCATCCACTCATTCATTTTTCTGGTCACGGTGATCGCTTCTTGTAGACCAGACTAAACTCAACTACTACACATTAAAAACAATATATGTATCAGGTAAGGTCCACTCAGCTAAGCAGCGCTTTTTCAGAAGCAACCTGGCCACAAATGATATCTCAAAGAAGTGGCTTATCACCGTGTAAAAAAATTATAGCAGCCAATACTCAAATACATGTTGATTCTAAATGTGGAGGGAGAAACTGGAGGACCCAGAGAAAAATCCACGCGACCACCAGGAGAGAGACCACGCAAACTCCAAATATACAGCGGGGGTCAGGGGCGGGATCGACCCAATATCTCTCACTGCGACCTCGAAAGTGCCACGTGCCATGTGCCAAGCCCTCACCTGTGTTGGTGTTGCCTCCCTTGTAGGGCAGGCTGCGAACGGCCTCGAGCAGCGCCGCCTTGGTGGTGTGCGTGTTGAGGTCCCACTCGGTCCTCGTGTCCCCGCTGTACTGGGACAGGGCTGCCCCGGGTTGGGGGGGGGGGACACACGAGACGCGGGACATTGGAACGCATCGGCTCCCGTCGCTGTGCGGCGAGAATCGACGCAGTGCGGCCCGCCGAGCATGTTTGCGATGATGGTGGCTTTAGACCGAGAGCGGGCGTTAAGGAATCGGAACGTGTGGTTAAAATATGGGGAAACGAAATTATTTGTTATCATGACTTTTTCGACGTAAAAAAATTGCTCAGGATTTCACGTGGCCAATTGCTCGCGACCGAATCCTACGCGTACATCGTATGTACGTATGCAAGTGCTCGTTAGTGCGAGTGCAACCGACCGTGCATGCACGCGCGCATGTGTCTGTGCGTGCATGCATGCGTACGAGTACATCCGACCACTCGTGTGTGCGCGCGCGTACCGACACGGATCTTGTCGGCCTGCACATCGAACGCCTGCACCAGCTGCTCCAGGAATTCGCGCACCAGGCGGAAGTTGATGCGCCCGATGGACCAGGACCCGTCGAGCACGATCACCAGGTCCACCTGCGCCTGCGAGCTGCACTCGAAGCGGCCTGCGCGACTCCGGGACACGACGCAAGCACGAGTCTCGTTCGTCCACGACCAAGCAAATTGCTCTCAAGTGGGTGACGTTGATTTTGAATGCAGGAGGGAAAAACCGGAGGAACGGGGAAAAAACCCCACGTGACCACGGGGAGAGAAACGCGGAAACTCCAAATATACAGCAGGCGTCAGGGTCGGGATCCAACCCACGGCGATGGTGGTGGTGGCGGTGGTGGCAGTGGTGGGACGGAGCGGCTCACCGGTCGGGGTCTGCGCGGTCACCGCCTCGTACTCGCTGGTGGTGACCAGCGCCTCGAGCGCGGCGCTCTCCCCGCCGCCCTGCATCTCGGCGTGCACGTTCACGCCGTACGCCGTGCCGGGCCTGCCCACGGGCACGTCACCCGACGACAGCGTCATCGACAACGCAACAGCACGGCCCGGCTACGACGAGAAACGGCGCGAGTCTCTGGTTTCACGGGGAAAGGGAGGCAGCCGGTCGGTCGTCGCAAGAGGAGAATAAGGATTGCCGTGCCGCTCCCGTACAGCTTGGTCCCCTCCCTTCCCTATGAAACCCAAAACATGCAGCTTGCTTGCACCCGCATCTCACTGTTCTTTCTGGCGCCTTATGCTCCCACACGATTGCCACGTCTTTTTTCGATGTGCATGCGTCTTCTTTGTCACCGTGAGACTAAACTGCGGGGGTTACTTGCACCTGCGCCTAACGTTTTGTTTGCAACCGCTAAATACTTCGTTTGTTTTCTGTGCTATATTCCTTAAGGGACCTGCTGTACTCGTACTCTGCAATATCGATTTTTTTTTCATTTTATGTTGTTGATGCGGCTGTGCTCATGCAGCACCACGGATCTCCCGTGGAAAAATAGCCGAGGCAACCAGCTACGCCGGACCATCACGCGCGTAACAAATAAAACAAACTCAAAGTCAGGCTACGTGAGCATATGCATCTTTATCCAACTCCCCCGCTGCACATGCATTTGCATTGGCCACACGGAATCTGTGCAGGCCAATGAGTTTTTAGATTGAAAACCAATTTCGTTAGAACTGATCGTTGTTGTGTTTAGTTTGTTGTACTTCCCCCGGCACACTTCTGATTAGCACGGTTGTCCACATACAGTGTGAAAGATGTTCAACAGACAACCTGTTCTCCTAAAACGCGGCGGTAGTTGCGCTCTTGAAGAATGCCGCGTTATGGAAAAATCGTGTTATGATAAACAAGATATATAATATAGGGTAAAGCACAGTCCGCAATAACACGTGAGATGCATACGCAGGAAGAACAATGACTGAGGTCCGTGGGTAGCATTTAGAAGCATCCAGCAGCATCCCAATGCCTTGGGTGATGCTACGCCGAGGCAGCCGTACTACCGCTTATTCTTACTCGCGCGACGTAGTTCCATTCACTCATCGCGTTATATCCAAATCGCCTTATGAAAAGACGCAGCGTTACAGGAGAACAGATTGCACGTACAAAACATCCACGCGGGGCGCCTGAGGAAGTGGACAACAAGGTGCGGGGTCCTAACCGGAGGTCGCGTAGTAGCACCGAGGTGTCGTCCGGCCCCAGCATCACCTCCCCGTAGGCATCCTCGTCTCCCTGGGGGGCGTAGTGGACCCGGTACCCTGACACCTTGCCGGGGCCAGCCTTCCAGCCCATGCGCAGGCCCTCGGTGCCCTCCTCCAGCACGCGCAGGTTCTTCGGTGGCTTGAACTTGGCGGCTGCATGCACGCAGACACGCGCACACGCAGTATGCACACACGCAGGTACGTACGCCCACGCGTGTGCATGCACGCACGCAGACACGCGCACACGCAGTATGCACACACACAGGCATGCACGCCCACGCGTGTGCACGCACGCACGCTCGTATACGCAATGTGTCACGTTAGATTTCCACTTACGTGACATGTCAAACGTATGTCGAATGTCGCGCACCTCCGATTAGCACAGTTGGTGAAGTTCAACATACTTACAGACACACGTGTACAATTTGGTGCTGCTGCTGCGTTTGCAATGATGCACGAGCACAATTAACAAACAAACAAACATCTCAACGCGTTTGTCAATAACACCGTGGCCTTAAAAGAAAAATGGACAGTAAAATAGAGATGCCAGAGCGACAGATGGATAATACGCGTTGGAGACTGACAATAATTACATTTGATCAATGTTTCTCGATAGACAGTTTTTTAAATCGGCATACGAGTCGTTATCTATTAGTAGTTTTCTGTTAGTAGGAAGGCGCACACTGCTGATCACAGACCGAGCGCTAACTTCGTAATATGCCCCGAGTTCGTTCCACAGTAGACAACGTGGTAAAGCCTTTGTTGCGTAGTTTAACACTTAGGCTTTCGCAAGCAATATTATCCACAATAACGTTTTTTTTCTTGGGTTAGAGCGTGTGAATATAAATGTGTCGCTAAAACCCGCCACCACCCGACACAGCCAATTAGTAAGTTTTATCATGTAAACAAAACGTGCGAATTAGTTACTTCTTCAGCACACCGGGGTGTTGGAGAGTAAATCCACAACATTTACAATTCGAGTACAACATTTCCACTGGCGGTTACAACGCACGCGTACGCTTTGTGCGTACGTGTGCATTGTAATCTACGCTACGGTGGCCTGTGAATCGACGCACTGTTGAACCAACCAACAAAAATGAAGTTAATGCGCGCCAGACTCAACCGTTATAACTTAATCGTATTCAGGGGCATTAACGGACGTGGACTTCTGCAACCCAATGCCATCCATTAGCATCTCAGTAGAGAGAGGACAGACGGCAGAGATGAGGGGACCACCCCCCCCCTTCCCCACTCAAGCCTGCCGGCTTCGAATGAAACGACAGCCCTGTTCTGAAAGAACCTCCTTGGCCGTAATGTGCAGCAGCAGCAAGCTCACGACTGCTTGCCACGTGGGGCTCCCCCCCTATGCACGCGATCGGGGGGCTCCACAATGCTATACTGGAATGAGGAAGCATCCTTGAACGAGGATTCCTTCGCTTTTGTGGAGGCGTTTCAGTCCAATTAACGGCAAATGCTTGACGGACGTAATTTTGCGATGGCAGCAGTAGCAGCAGGGTATTTTATGAATACCGGGCGCAGCAATTGAACGTGAACAAATGCGGAGCTTTTGTGATTGCATGGGGCAGGTTGAGCGGTGGTTCAGCGGTCGGCGCACCGTGCTGTGAACGCCAGCTGACCTAAGTTTTTTTGCGGGCCATGGCTTACATTAGTAGCGAGCGATATGTGAACCGGTACTTAAGTTGCCTATTTCAATGGCCAGCACAGTAAAGCATCGGAATCAGAATATGTATTTATACTGGAGGAATCCGATGAGCTATAAAGCTCTTTTTCACAGATGTTAAGTATGGTAAATCAACCCTCATGACTGCCATGGGAGGCCTTCATCCAGCAGTGGATTAACAAAAGGGCGGTGCGTACCAGCAATGCGAATGTATGACCTTTGGCGACTGCTGCTCTGGGCGGCCACGGCCAAAACCATTTAGAGAAGGGCTTAATCTATGTCACCGAATATTTTCCGGAGAAGTCGCGCACCATTCCGCGTTGTTCCGCCCTGCTTGTGACGTCACCACTCTATTCTGTGTTCTTGAAAAAAAAAAATACTTGGCAATAAAAAAAAGATACGAATAAGGTACCAATTTTGGGTGGATCCAACGTTGGGGGAGAGGCAATCAAACCCTCCCCCCCTTCACTTAATTCCTCAAATCCTCCACCGGGTCCCCCCTCGCGCTCTCTCCATGCCTCTCTCTCTCCGCACCTTCCAGAGTGGTGGCAGTGGCCTTGAGGGTGGGCCCGTCCCCCGCGGCCATGACGGGCGTGAGCTCCATGCTGTACGCCGTCGAGTGGCGCAGCTTGCGCACGAGGGCCGACGAGGCGCCGGGCGGCAGCGTCACCTCCGTCGCCTTGCCCCCAGCCGCCGGGCGGTACGAGAGGCGGAGTCGGCGTGCCGACGGCTCCTGGCGGGGCCAGCTGATGCGGAAACTGGACGGGGTCTCCTGCGTGACCAGCAGGCCGTTCAGTTCTGCGGGGGTGGGGGCGGGAGGGAGGAAGGGAGGCGAGGAGAGAACGTGGATGCGCACAGACGAGGGGTGTGGAGATTGCCCCGCGAGGCCTACGCTAGGCTGTTGGGGCCGAGTGCTGTTGGCGAGGGTACCCGTTGGGTTGGGGTGACCCTGCACCATGCCTGGCTGCGTTTGTTATTTGAACGCTGCAGCAGGCACTCATTTGAGGCCGAGTCAACCTATGGGGAGACCCAGGACCTGTTTAGATAATCGTCGTCAATGTTGCCGGTGAGTGGGATTTGGACTTGGGTCGCCGGGTTCGTAGCGTAGCGCGTTAACCACTGCGCCGCCGCACCCCACGTGGATATAAAGATCCCCGTGTAGCCTTAACAGACTGTTTGGGGCAAGTGCTGTTAGCGAGCACCGTGCCCATACACAACCACAAACTTGCAAGCAACATACATGTGCGAAAGAGGGAAAAAAAGGGCTTTGGGAAAGCAGAGAAAGAAGTGAAATGTAAAGACACAATGCCAAGCCATGGGCTGTAGAAAATCACAGGAAGGGAATAGAAAGGCAGAGGAATAGAAAGGCATGGAAGGACACTACAAAGGACAGAAAGACAAACGAAAGGAATAGGAAGGAACAAAAAGACAGAAAGGCAGAGGAACGAATGAGAAGGCACGAGGAGGGGGTCAGTCCTCTCACTGGCAGTAGTCGCTTCGGCCTCAGTCTCGGACCCCGGGCCTTCAGGGAAGACGGCCCTCATGGACAGCAGGTAGGTGGTGTCGGGCCTCAGCTTGGCGAGCCGCTGTTGCTGCAAAGAGGTGGCTGCAGCGGTGATGACGTAGTCGCTGTAGGAGAGGCCGTCGGCCGTGCGCAGCGCCAGCTGGTAGGAGGTGGCCCCAGCGACGCTGGGCCAGGACACCAGCATCTTCTGCGTGGAGATGTCACTCACCTGCAGGTCCACGCGCCTCCTGCTCGCTGCACACACAAATAGACATGAGAGGTCCCCCTCCACCACCACCCGGGTCTGGGGTAGATACCTGCCACATGCATCTGGGGAGTGGTAGTGTAGCGCGTCAGCGCGTCAGCACTCCGCGCTACAAACACGGTCAAACAGTTCCAGCGACACCACCAGTGGAGATTACCTGGACCGGTCTATGTTTATTTAATTTATTCTCCCAGGTAAGGCGCACTGAGCTATATGGATCATTTTCAGAAGTGACCTAACCACAAATGAAAGCTCAACGAAGTGACTTATCATGTGGAAATACTCAATTTTGGCTGCTATACGGTCCTGCCTGGGCCTCCACTAGGTCGAGCTGGCCTCAAATGAGTACCTGGTGCAGTCGTGTGCCAATATCGCCAGTAGGGGGACAAAGGCAGCCAGGCATGGTGCTGGCCACCCACTCCCTTGTGGACCATGTCAGCTTTCATAGGTGCTCACGAATAGCACTTGCCCCAACAGTTTGGCTATATGGAGGATCTTGTCTTTGTGGGGAGCAGTAGCGGAGCAGTTAGCGCTCTGCGCTACAAACCCAGCGACCCGAGTTCGATTCCCTTTCACGGCCAAAATCAGTGACGATTATCTGAACCGGTCGTGGGCCTCTCCGAGATTGACTCAGCCTCAAATGAGTACCTGGTACAAAGTGTAAACATCACCACTGAGGAGACAGGAGTCATCCTGTGCATGTATTCATGTGCATGTGCGAGGGAGAATCGCTCACCGGGCAACGATTCCCCTTCCTGCGCAACGGTCATCTGCAGCTTCACGCCCTGGCACACGTGCGAGATGATCTCCCCCTGCACGCCCTTGACATCGTCGAAGGACGCCACGTTGAAGAGGTGGCGCTCCAGAGGAGCGGAGGCCATCTCCTGCAACTCCGCGACGTCCGCCTCCTTGATGCCTGCCGGCGATCAAAAGGGCGGGGCCGGCGATCAAAAGAACGCCGGGCACGTCGGCGTTGGGGCAGATCTCCATCGCAGCCAAACCGTCGAGTCGTGGCGCTCTCAGAGGGCCCTTTTGATAATGGGATGTGTATAAAATAATAATATTTGTTTTATGTTTTACGTGGATAAACGGGCAGGTGAAAGAGGAGTATGCTACGTCTATTTGTTACTAATTTTCCCCATCACGACAGTGGGAAGAAGGATTTTTGATCGTGTGTGGTGGCCTAGCATAGTTGGCATGGGCCTGGGTAAATGGAATTAAAATTGTCTACCCCACTTCCGTCCCCCTATTCATTTTTTTTGGCGACGTCATTGTGAGACCACCAACTTCCTATGCTTGAGAACCTGACTTAATCTCAACTCCTTCGAAAAGCGAGTTTGTGAATCACCTAACGAGTTCTTCGTGGTTCTCTACGCAAGTCTATGCATCTCTCCGCGAAGCCTTATCGATCTCCAAGCAAGGCCACCGGTGACCAGGTCTGAGGCCATCAACTCGCTGCAAATTAACAGCTGTGCGCGGCTCAAATCCTGAAACGATCGCAGGATTCTCGGCGGTTGCAGGCTCGGGGATGCCTGCGACGACGACGAATCGACACGAAGATGGGAGAGCCGATCGGAAGCGAGCGCCGTCGTTACCGAGAGTGAAAATCTCGATGCCCGCGCTGCGCAGCTGCTGGGCGGGTGCCGCCACTGCGTCCTGGGACTTCCCGTCCGTGATGACGAAGGCGATCTTGGGAATGCCGTCGCGCGTGCCCGCGCCCTCCGCGAACATCATGCGCTGGGCGAACTGCAGCGCATCTCCTGCCAAAAAAAAAACAATCGCAGACGAAGATCAAGGACCAACTCCCCCGCCCTGGCTTGCCGTTATAGCCTCCAACACACTGCTGGGGCGAGTGCTGTTAGTGAGCATTTGTTAAGGCCGGAAAATGCGCACTTTTGGGGGGAGGGGTGGTTTGTCATGTGTGCCAAGTCCAGCCACCTTTGTCACCCCACCCAATGTTGATGCGTCACGTGCTGCGCCATCTACTTATTTGAGGGCCGATTCATTGTGGGCGAGACTGAAGACTGGGTTAGATATTCGGCACCGATGTTGACCCGAATGCTAACAACAACAACCCCTTTCCTCGTTTGCAAAAACTTTTCCATCGCCGGAAACTTAAAAAACAACTCCGATTGGCTGAAGCGGTATTTTGCAAGGTTTCACTCTATGGCTCCACTCAACGCACCCTCTATTCCAACTGCCCACCAGCCAATTCTGCCCACCTATCAACCCACCAACATGCCCTCCATCCGTCCCACCCACCAACAATCCTTCTCTCCCTCCTACCAATTCTTCCACCCGTTAAAACAACAACATACCCTGCAATAACTTGCTCCCACGCACAATCCTTCCCTCCCACCAATTCTACCTTCCACCCACCAACCATCCCACCCACTCACCGGTATTGGTGCTGCCTCCTTTGTAGGGGAGCTTCTGGATGGCCTCTATGAGCTTTTCGGCATCCGTGTGTTCGTTGGGCAAGAACTCAGTGCGTGCGTCCGTGCTGTACTGCACGATGCCGACACGGACGCCACCGCCCCCAGAGTCAGAATCGGCCTCCTCGGAGGACTCCTCCTCCTCCTCCTCCTCCTCCTCCGACGACGACGACGAGGAGGAGGAAGCGGCACGCACCAGGGCCTGCACCAGGGATGCCATGAAGCCCTTGACCTTCTCGAAGTTCACGCGGCCGACGCTCCAGCTGCCGTCCACCACGAAAACCAGGTCGACCGCGGTGCCGGGGACGCAGCCTGCAGGGGGTGGGGAGGGAGGAGGGCGTGGAGGGGAAGGGGATCATGGGTCGAGGGGCCGTCAACACAAACCACAAACACAACGCAGTTTACACCATTGGAACCTCATTTGGCAGTAAAAAATATGATAATTGTTTTTTTTTTACCCTTCTATCTGGCAACAAAACTGACACCTTTTTTACAAGGAGTCATGTTTACATAGACCACAATACCTGCAGTTATAATGCAAACAACCCATGTGAGACTAGGCTCTAAGGAAAGCTGTCTCGGGTGTGGACCAATCAACTTCAAGGACAGTGCATACATTATCAGAGTTATGTTTTTTGTTTGCATTATGACTGCAGGTTTTGTGGTCTATGTAAACATGACTCCTTGTAAAAAAGGTGTCAGTTTTGTTGCCAGATAGAAGGGTAAAAAAACAATTATCACAACGCAGTGTTACGATGTGGATTTATAGACTGTATTAATTTCACCGCACCTCAGAGCAACTGCACAGCATGAGTGGGCATATTTATTCTGCACAACGAGAGGCAGTCAGTCACAGGCAAAGGTAAAGAGGGAGGTCTCTGTGTGAGTCTATGAGTCTCTGTGTGAGTCTGTGAGTCTCTGTGTGAGTCTCTGAGTTTCTGTGTGAGTCTGTGAGTCTCTGTGGGAGTCTGAGTCTCTGTGTGAGTCTATGAGTCTCCGTGTGAGTCTATGAGTCTTTGTGGGAGTCTATGAGTTTCTGTGCGAGTCTATGAGACTCTGTGTGAGGCCATGAGTCGCTGTGTGAGTGTACAGGCCTAGATGTGGGTCTCTGTACAATACAATGTGGTTTAAATATAGCATCTAAATGTGACCACATCCCAAGATGACAAACAGAAACAGGGGGCATGTTTATTTTACAGAGAGAGGGAGTCAGAGGAATATAAATATTTAAAACCTGCCCATTGGTTCCGCGGGCTCCATATATAAATGAAGTTCACGTATGGATGCATTTGCTTTTTTTTCAAGCGTATAATTTAATTAATTAAATGTTCAACCAAACCCTGATGGCTGCAAAACATTATCTGGTGCCGATGATGTCTATTTTGCAATTTGGCTAAGAAGTGCAAAATTGGAGCCATATGGGGGTTGAGACGGAGGCTTCAAAGATGCCCTCTCTCTTCAAGCCCCCGGCGGTGTCTTCATGAACTTCGACGCAGTGCCTGCTGCCTGCCTCAAGACGACATCAATGCAGGCACGACTCCGTGTGGTTTTCACTCGGTGGATAATGAATCATCATTTTTTTTCTGTTTAACCCGATGTCAAAATAATTTTCGCTTTGGGTGAAGGGGGGCGGTGGCAGCAGGGGGGGCGTGTGGGGGAATGTATCAACATGCACAGCACTTGCCCCAACAGTCTGTTGAGGCTATACGGGGGGGGGATCTTTGTCTTTGTGTGCGTGACCAGATTTGCATCACTTGACACCGGGCACAAGTTTGGTGTGCATTTTAATTTCCGGGGCGCCTTGTCATCTGGAAAATACGGCATTCTGTAACGTTCTTGATCAGCCCCGACTAGACATCTGTTAAAAAAAAGATTAATAGCTCATCGGATTCTTCCAGTATAAATACATATTCTGATTGTGATTCTGATTACATCCATTATTTTTCAGTTGGGTTTCAAAATTCGGTGCATTTCATTTTCTTTGGTCGATCGTCCGCCGCGTTCGTTTAATTTGACCACTTTGTGTTTTTTGCGCCGTACCGAAACCAATTTGAGGTCTGTCTGAACTTTTTTTTTTTCCCAGGTCTCCCTCTAGAACACTTCACTCACTCCTGGTCACGAAGGAATACGTACGGACGTTAGACAACGCTTTGTCGAAAAGAATGACGAGACAAGAACAGCGGCCGAGACAGACCCCCGCAGAGTGAAACCACCAAAGAGGAGAGAGAGGAATACATTTAAATCTGAGAAAAGGAAGTGCATGGGTGATGGGGGCCACAACACTGACCATGGAGATGGTGGCATCCGCTTATGCGCCACTAAATCCAGCAGCGATTAGAGATTGGCTCACAACAATCCATATATCTGATTCAGCTCAAGCCTCCTGTAAACCACGTGACTTTTGTGTAGCCATGCTCACTCTGAACCCCTTCTCCCCGCCCACTGTGAAAACAGCCGCCGCTCCGTGCAGCAGCAGCAGCAGCGTCAAGGCCATTGTGTAGCCTCCTCCCTCCCCTCATGTCTCCTGACTTCTCTGCTCCCGTTTCTCCACTCCTTTCCCATCCCCTTCCTCTCACTCCCCATTCATTATCTTTCCCTCTCTCCTCTCCCATTCCTTTTTCTATTTCCATTCATTACTAACCACCGACTCCACTTGCCTTCATGTGGTGCGCCACCAGTACAGAGTCGCTCGCCTTTGATGGAAGCGGATGTTACAAAAGCCTTGGAAACTCTAGTTGCGAGTGCTTAACCCTACACATAATCATTAATTACTTGTAGATGAAATTTCAACCCGGTGGATTTTTTTTTTTTACACGCATAAAAGTGTTTACATTTTTCATTCGCGTCGGCTATTTCTCCACTGCCATTAGCTTGGTGCGTACAGGGCCCGGGCGTGCTGATGACAACGGCCATCACTTAACGTAACGTCCCAACTTCCAGTGGCTCTTGGCCAGAATTTCAGCATGCGCCGGTAATGCAATCTCCAGACCCCCCCCCTCCACCTACCCCCCACATGCCCCCCCCCAACCCTCCCAGCCCCCCCAACCCCACCCCGCACGTAACGGCTCTAGCAGGTCCCTACTCGCGGTGTCAGTTTAAGGGGAGATATTTAAAACCGACTCTTTAGCGCACCCCGAGGTATTCGGCCCTTTGTCCTTTAATGACTCGGAGTAAATAACGACTTTCACCGCTACCGCTGCCAGTGCATGTCTGGCGCGGCGAAGACGCAAACGCTCTCAGCCGTTCTTAAAGGTGTCGGACCCGACTGCGACCATTCCACCGGTTTTTTGTACAACCTCGCATTTTCTGTGCTGCGGAGGACATCCCGTCGTGTAGATGGAGCGCCGTTCGCCAATAATAATACCTGGCAAGCCAACGGCATCTTTTCATCTGAACGCATTCGTGCAGAAGCTCCGTCCATCTGCCTGTCCCGTGCGTCTCGTCCGCAGTGGCGCGGCCGGCACAATGACTCTCTCGTAAAGATGATCCGATATATCGACGACATATTCACCCTGAAGTTGCGCTACTTTTAGGGGCTATGAGTCTCCTGACCAAAGGGATTGCCCAGAACTCGCAGCATCAATCCGAGCCGCCATCGGAGCCCCATCGCTCTTGCCGAGGACTACTTTCCTGCGCGCCTGGTGCGAGCGCCACCGTTATTATCTAGAGTTCAATAAAGCGTCGAGGAACAAATGCACGGTGGAACGCTTTAAAGAATCCACGCATATGGATGAGCGCTCTTCATTTTACACTGGGCCAGTGTTGCGCCCGCCCACCTGGTACACATCTATCTTGAGGGCGAGTCAAACGAGGAGAGGCTTACGACCGGCTCAGGACATTCGTTACCGATGTTGGCCGCGAGCGGGAATCGACTTTGAGTCACCCGGGTTCATAGAGCCGCGAGCCAACGATTGCATTACCGCGCCCAATGCACATACACAAGCTTGCACACGCACGCACCAATCCAGGGCAAGGGGTCTTAAGCTTTATAGCGTTTCGCCACCGTGGGACCTTTCTTGGCCGGTTTTTCTGGAAGATGTTGAGAGCAAAACTGCGCTTCGGGTTCGAGTCGTGAATGCGCGCCGACGTTACCGTCGGAAGATGAGCGGTCTTCGTTCTTCGTAGAGGGCTTTTTCGACGTCTTCTTGGTGGTGGTTTTGGTCGTCTTGGCCTCGACTGTCCGCGTACAGAAAAACAAAAAGAGGGCAACGAAAAAATGAGGTTCGCAACAGGGCAACGGACATCCGGGCATGCGCTTCGAGCAACCGCGCGCAACATGTTTGCACGCAAAGAAATGCATTTATTTATTTCCCCACTCTTTTTCTCTGCAACGCGCATCGAGCGCCTGGAACTCTCTCCTTGCTTTTTTTTTCAAGCGTTGCAAAACGCAGAAGACCCTACATCTGAACGCGCGCAGGCACCTCGCCAAATTAAGGGACGCGCACGGGGGTTGGCTGCATCCCTCCGGTGTCACTCTCAGGCAACATTACCCCCCCAGCACATCCCCCCTCACCCGTGCTCTTATCGTGAAAACTCACATTACACTGGACTGTACAGACGCAGTCATTTAAACAATATATATTTGACACCCGCCAGATTAATTGGCCGGCCCCCAAAGTATCCCAGAAGGTTAACTTTTTTTTTTATTATTATAATAATAAGAGATCGGCTTACGTGATCCACTCACTAAGGGGACGTGGAGTAAGAGAATACTCAAGTTCAACGGTGAACTTCGCAAAGACGCGGCCATGCTTAGGCTGCTCAGCTGCAGGAAATCTGGTATCAATTATGCACACTCACACGCACGCGCGAGCGAGCGAGCGCACACAACATAAAAAAAACCCGAACTTGTGACTACTTTCATCATTGCGCAAACGGCATTGATCACATCCATCTCAGATCCTTCTTAAGTTTGAATGAGAAGGATTAAAGGAGTATAATAATAAGAAGAGGATGTTTAAACGTGGGATTGCTATTGTGACTCATTATGCATGGGAGGGATGATTGGAAAATTCAAAGGCTGTGCAAATTGTGAAGGGCTGCATGTATCTTTGGGTTTTGTGCGTGTCGCTAACAGCACTTGCCCCTACAGTCTGTTAAGGCTATACGGGGGATCTTTGTCTTTGTATGTTTGCTTGTGTAAGTGTAAAGCGTGTGTGCCGGTATTAACGTATCACGTCTTAGTCCAAGTGTGTGTGTCAGTGGGATCGTGTGTGTTTCAGTCGTGAGTGTGTGTGCGTGTATGCCAGTAGAATAGCGTCAGTGTGAGCATGCAAGTGTCAGTACGAATGTGTCAGTGCGAGTGCGTACGTGTCAGTATGAGTGTGTGTGTGTCAATATGAATGTGTGTGTCAAAACGAGAGAGCGCTTGTGTTTGAGCAAGCACGAGTGTGCATGCGTACGTCATCATTTATGCAAGCATTAGCGTGTGCGCCAACACGAGTGTGTGTGTACGTACGTGTCAGCACGAGTGTGTGTCACCCGTGTGACCAACACGGCTTGACGGGAGAGATATTTCAGACATCACATCTCGTTGCATCCGAAGATATTTCCCCTTGCACGTGCTCACGCGCGCGCGCGCACATGTGTACGCGGGCACAAACGTGCGCACGTGTCCGTGCGCTCACATCCGTGCGCGCGCGGGCACGGTGCATGTGCTTCACAGATGTGCAGCGGGCCACGGCGTGCCGACGGCACGACGCAACATCGTTACGTTTTACTCCGGCACTCTGCCCGAGTCGGTTTGCATCTCGTTTCAAAGTAAACGCCGCCGCCATCATCGCCGTCGTTGTCGGGGACTCGCTGAGCCTCGTCACTTCACTCGCACATGGTCCTGCGACGCCATTGGAGCGTTCACTCAAAGCAATGTAAATTAAAACAATGTCCATGTCGTTTTTCACACCCCTCCTGCCGTCGATATTTAAAAAAACCACACCCCCTCCTCCACATCCCCCAACCAACTGCTCCCCAACTAAAAAAAAAAAATCGTGCGGTGACTCTTAGAGTCGAGAATCGTGGATTTGGTGGCGTAGGGCTCAGGGTAATCTCACGAAAATTCAGGTCACAACAACAATAACAAAAACAACAACAACAAAATAACCCCACAAACTTCCAGGGGTTGTTTTTCAATTCCTTCTCGTCATCCCAACGAGTGCCGTTGATTCATTCGATTCCAGTTGCGTCAGATTCGTTTTGTTGCAGCGGATGGCGAGGAGAAATTCGGGAGAGCAGGACAGAAGTCCCTCATTCGCGAGCGTGACTTGGGTCACCGACACGACGAAAGCCGAAATAAAAAGGACAACAGCTCAGCGAATAGAAATCAGGGCAAAAAAACAATTGCGTCAGATCGCCACTATTAGGTAACGATGCACGTGCCAATTTACGAACTGCTCACCAGCAAACGTAGAATTTTTACTAATATAATTGTCATCAGGCCCCATGGTGTAACGTGCAGTCTCCATCTCCGATCCACTCTTTGGCCTCATTATTCACAAGGCTATGAAGAAGGGCTATTGCTCACAATGACACCAACTCATCGAATTATCTATTAAAGCAGTGCTATTGATGAATGTGTTCATTTTGTTGATGTTGTTTTATTTCTTGTTGTTGTTATTTGCGCTTGTGCACCACTGCCAACGCAGCAGCATCATCACCGTAATTATTGTCACGCGTGTACACGGACGTGTGTCTCTCGTGAGTGTTGCCCTCAACGCTGCTCAGCGCGGACGAAGAACCAAGCGCCAAGTATCCGTGAGCTGTTTCTCCTCGGTGCCTGCCTCACCGCTGGTACTATTAAAACAGTTTCAAACTAAACAGTAGAAAAAATTTACTCTACCATGTAAAGCCCACTGAGCTATATAGCTTTTTATCAGAAGCTGCCTGGCGACACATGATAGTTCAACAAAGTGGCTTATCACGTGAAAATGTATAACAACCAAACAGTTTAGACGCATGTTTCTAATTGTCGAGGGAAAAACCGGAGGACTCGGAGATGAATCCATGTGACCACGGCGGGAGAGAACATGCAAACTCCAAATATACAGCAGGCGTCAGGGTCAGGATCAAAGCCACGACCTCGCGTAAACCTGGCGAGGTAGTTAACATCTCGCCACCGTGGTGCTGGTACTGGAGGCACGGTGCAGGCACCGAGAGATAACTTCCCCATCCTTCCCACAATCCCTCACTATAAACCCTCGCTCCGTGGTGAAATCTTCGGGCTCGTGAATATCACATTCCCCCCGATGCTTCTGTAACATATACGGCAACACTCAAGAGTTTAAGCACGCTTGAAAAAGAAAATAATCTCAAAGCACTCAAAGGTAATGGATTTTTTCAACTTTCACTCTTCTTCGGCTCAATTCTTTTCCAACCCCCCCTGCATTTAAACTTCTCACGTGATTCATCGCCGCACACCATTAAAGCTGTCCGGCCCAACTCGAAGCAACATCCTTCGCCATCCAACATCTGTCAGCGGGGCAAGGGAAATGCGCACGCACGTGTGGCAAGAGGGCACCTTCTCACCGGCAGCCCACGGCGTGCGGAGAGAGAGAGAGAGAACATCCACCGTGACTGGTCTTTTTCACGAGCGGCCAGATCAGAATATTTGTTGACACTGGAGGAATCCCGATGCGCTGTAAAGCTCTTTGTCACATAAAGAAGAGACAGCCACCCAGGCGCCATCTCAGCACCCCCCCTGCCCCGCCCCCCCCCCCACCATCACTTTTCACAAAGTGCACTTGTTCGAATTAAAATAGTTACACCAGAGGAATCCGATGAGCTATAAAGTTGTTTTTATCCAGTAGAGGGAGGGTTGCCACGCCATCAATCCATCCCATGTATGCAGATCATCGGATACCACAAATCCCGCCAGGGCATTTCTCTCCCCGGTAAAAGCCTCGCCGAGCCTGGAGACTTGCTCAGGAAGGGTTGCTGCAACAAACATTCGGATGTTTGGCAAGGGCCTTATCCGTTGTCGAGATTTTGGCTTCGTGTGGCAGGAAACCCAGAGAAGCCCAGAAAAAAAACCTCCCCACGGGACGCTGCACCACAAAGGGGTGACCGCCCCATGCCCACAGCGCCCGGCAAGCTCTGGTGGGCCACCTAACCGAGAATTATTCTCAACCGCCCTCGGCTTCTTAAGTCTGATGATGTCTGAAACGTGGACAATAACTGAAACGACAGATGAATACAGCCACATGCGCGTGATAACTGATAATCAATCTTGATTGATTAATCAATCAGGGAGGCGGTGGTGAAGTAGGATTAGTGGTTCCCACTGCGAGCCCCTGTGCAATGAACCTGACAGACCTGAGTTAATTTCCCCATCATTACTCAACACGATGAACATTATGCGGCAAGTGATATCCCACCCAATTCTGACCTGGGTCTCTTCAGCCGTTGACGAACCCGTGGTGAACATGCGGTTAAACGACCCCCGCACAGAACGGGGGAGACCTTCAAAAATGGCTTTGCCAAAGCATTTTAGCTAATAATATATTTTTATTGCGTCCTTATCTCTTTTTCATTGATACTTTATTACCACCTTCACATTTCCCCACATTCCTGTCTCGAATGATGCCCGCAGCGGCAGGTAAAGGCTGGGGGGGGGGGGGGGGGAGGGGAGCACGGGGGGAGTAAGAACGCTGCTCCTTACGTAAATCTACTTGCTTGGGATTGAGCCTCCAATGGAGCAAGGACAAAAAAACCATATGGCGCAATTTTTTTTTTATTAAATTTACGAAATACGTCAAGACTTAGAGAAGTTTTGGTTTATTCAGGACGCCGGCTGCTACTGTTGTCACCGTGCTAATTGAAACCAGCCCCTGCGGCTAGGGCACGCGGTGACGCCGTGCCAAAAGCTTTCTGACTGACGCGTGGCCGGCTGGCGCGCCCTGGGGACCGGCGTTGGCACGGCCGTCGCCGGCGAGGGGGACGAGCGACCGCGCATCTCCGCCGTGCCCACGGGAACGCGAGCGTCGTGCCTCCAAAATATGAGACGGGGCGGGGGCACGGAGGTTTCACGACGCAGCGCACCGACTAAGAATCCAGCCACCAGGGTTTGTTCCCCGTTCCCCACTAACATCAGCGGTGAGAGATCAGAAGTGGACGTGACCCCACCGACCCCACCGACCCTTCGCCCCCGCCGCGCCCACATCTCTAAATCGCGATCTGACGGCGAGTTTGTAACTGGCTCTTCTTCATGACAGATGGATCTCTCCGTCTCTCCGGGAGAGACCTTTCAATTAGGGCAAAACACACAGCTTACACTGGCACCCTCACCTCACTTGTTTTTGGGCACCTCTTCTCAAAGCTCGTGCGTTTCGTTCACCGCCATCGAGCGCCTCGTTCGTCAGACGCGCATTATTCCTTGAGGAGGTTCATTCTAGATTTGAAGCTTTCGTGACTGCAAGGATCCATAGTCGTTGGTTCTTTCGGTAAAGTCACGTAGGTAAAAAATAAAATAAAATAAATTAAAAATAATAATAATACAAAAGAATTTTTTTTTTGTAATTTGTAATTGTTTTTTTAACCTACGTGACTTTACAAAAAGACCCAAAGAGTATGGATTCCTTGAGGACCCTGCTGTACTCGCTTCTCTGCAATGTCGATGTTTTTGTCTTTTTTGTTTTCGCTGTTGCTGCGATTGGGCAGCACCACCAACGGGTTTCCCTTGTGAAAAATAGCCGAGGGGGGGGCTAAACAGGGATCATCCATGCAGAAAATAAAAAAACATAAAAAATAAAACACTTTAAGGCAACGTTATTGACAAACCGCGTCACAAAAACGATCGTCCACACACATAGCTCATCAATATTATTATCCTCAACACCACGGGCATGTACGCTGAGCTTGAACTTCTTTCGCACCATATATAACCAACCGTGCTAACCTGAGCTTGTTCATCCCTTGTGGTCAGAATGAGCCCTGACCGCACTCTGGAACTGACCAACAGCCAGCCAGCGAGAGCCAGTAAACCCGCACCAGATTGACAACCGGAGTCTACTTTAGATGGGGGCGGCAGCGTGCCCCCGTCGTGGTAGTGCAGCGGGCGGTACTTCGCTTACTCGTCACTTTCCCCACGATGGGCGGGCTCTCGGCCGAGCCGTCGTAGGCCACCATGGTCACCATGTACTCGGTGCCGGCACGGAAATCCTTCAGCACCGTCTTGGTGGCTCCCTTGGGCAGCTTCAGCTCCTTGGACGGCCCAACGCCGTCTGCCACGTTTGGGAGAGGGGCGGGGCGAGGGGAGGAGAGAAAATTGGCACACATCGGCACGTACGCACACAGGCACGCAATCATCTCACGCGGCACATCTTCTTCTCACGTGCTGTGCCGCCTTCTCCTGGCGTGTCAAGGGGCGTGTCACCGCTTCGATGCCCCCCCCCCCCCCCCCCCGCTGGGGAAGGGGAGTTTCGCAACATTTTGTGCGATGATCCACCAACCTTGGCTTGCTCATTATCGCAGGGTTCACGCGTTAGCCGCGTGCAGCGTAGCCACCGCCAGCCCTCAACTGGAACGAACGTGCGCAAGGCTGAGAGCTGTGCCGTGCGCAACCTCGGCAGCGGTGGCCGGCGGGGAAGAGAGACAGGGCAAGGCGGACACCACCCATAGGCCTTCGACCCCGGTGCTGCACGACGGCGCTGAGATATTTGAAAGAAGCCGACGCGTGACAGCTGCTGCCCAGAAGAGAACGGCAACGCAAGTCGCCCCCCCTTCCGGCACCCCCCCCCCCCCACCCACTCTCTCCTCGGCGTTCACGTGGCGAGGTCCAAGGCCGCTTCCGTGCAGCCCGGATCGGCCCACATGAAGGCGCGGCAATGTGATAACTGACCGAAAAAAAAACCCGAAACGAATGTTTATTTTACCAGGTGAGGCCCGCGTAGCTACGTAGCTCGTTTTCAGAAGCGACCTGGCCACAAATGATAGCTAAACGGAGTGGCTTAGGGTCGTGTGAAATTTTATAGTGGCCAAATACGCTAAACATACGTTGATTCTAAACGAGGAAGGAATAACGGGAGGACCCAGATAAAAAATCCACGCCACCACGAGGAGAGAAACACATGGAAACTCCAAATAAACAGGTGTCAGGGTCGGGAATCGAACCCACGACGTCCTGCATACCAGGCAAGGCAGTTAACATCTCGTTACCGTGGTGCTCAACCTTCTCTCGGGCAATCGTCATCGGCGCAACGCGAGACGGCCGACAGACAAACAAACAGACGCCGTAACGACGGCGTTTTTCTCGAACGCGGGGCCCGTGTCGCCATCGGGGGAGGACTCTCGGTGCGGTGGCTGAGAATCGACGGCAGCGCACGGAAGCGGGCGGTGAGGAATGCCTCTAATCTGCACCATCCCTCGGAACGCGATGCTCCATCTTGCACGACCCCCCCCCCCCCCCCCCCCCGACTGATGCCGACTTAACGCGCGCCAGCGACGCCGTTTGGGAGCGCCGCCACCAAAAGCACCTGGCACACGCGTGGCCGGGCCCCCGTGACCACAGGCGGTGCTACGTGGAGGTGGCGGGGGGGGGGGGGGGCGCAGGCAGAGAGAGAGGCTATTGCCCCCCCCCGTCACCTCCCCCCCCATCCCTCAACTAGGTGAAACGGGAGGGAAGCGACGAGCTAGAGGTCCGTGCGGACAGAAACGTTCGGACGTTTCCGCCGGAACAATTCGTAGCGCACCGAACTCGCGATCCACAGGTCGCCTGATTGAACATAGGGAAAGTAAAAAAACCTAACAAAACGTCACGCAGGTGAAGCTACGTGACGAGATCGATTCTCAGGTGCAACGGCGACGTTCATGGCCTGAGCCGCACTGGCAGTGAAGCGCACTCGCAGAAATAACGAACATTCCATTTGACATTGCGCTTTTCTTGGACAAATTCCAGCTCCATGAATTAAAAACAAAGCTTTGGCTTGGTTGACGTGCGATGGAAACTCTTCACGTGGGGGCATGTGAAGGGTCTGCCCCACGAGAGTATAAAAAGAGGCCTATTGGACGTGACTTCACAGGTAGTTCCACAGTGTCATCTTTCGGGGGCTGTGCCGACACTGCTTTGCTGTTTGAATATCTCACGAGCAATAAAACAACGTGAGGCTCGGCAGAGTTGAGCGCTGGTGAGCCGTGCCGCGTTCACCGTAGGGCTTTGATGCACACCGCTAAATGTAAGAGTTCGTTTCCAGTATCAGTGGGGCCGAAATCGCTTTTTTTCTCGGCACAGTGAAAGATCCCTAAGAAAATATAACAACCCAAGCCGCAATGAGAAAAAAATACTTAAAATTTGCGGTCACTTAGGCATTTGTTTATTTTGATAACCGCGTCTTTAGACGCGGGTGTGAGTCATTAAGATTAGACCAAGATGGATTTTTTCCCCCACAAATTTTTAACCAATGAGATCTTTGTCCTAAAAAATGCTTTAAATTAAAAACTCCCTTTAAATCAGAAAAAGCTTTTCGTGACGGGCAATGTTTCTAGAATTTAGGACGTGTGTGTGCTTCATGGATTCTCCTATAGAATGTTCTGTGCACAAGTAGCCAAAAACAAGTATGTTTTCAAATGAAAGAGAATGTGCTTACGTAAATGCATTTTCTTCCAGAAGCCACAAGCAACATAATTGAATATCCACACAATCGCTCACTCACCAAACTGTCCACGCACTCGCCCATACACCCTCGCCACATTCACTCCTGCACATACTCACCACACAGATTAAAAATCACCAAGCCTCCCACCACACCCACTCAACTCTCTACTCACCCACCCTCAATCATCCATAAATCAACTCATCTATCCACCTACCCATGAATTTACACCCACCCACTCACCCACGCACTCACTCACCCACTCCCTCACTTCCTCACTCATCTACCCATGAACCCACTCAACCACCAAACCATTAGCTAAACACACCGAACCACTCGCTCATCCACTCACCCACCAACTCATCCATCTCACTCACCCACACTTATCTACCTATCCACCCACCCACCCATTGATCCAACCATTCAACCACCCAACAACCCGACCATCTATTGAACCACCCACCCTCTCACTCACCCACCTATCCAGCCACTCACCCACCCTCTCACCCACCCACCCATCCAGCCACTCACCCACCCTCTCACCCACCCACCCATCCAGCCACTCACCAACCCTCTCACTCACCCACCCATCCAGCCACTCACCCACCCTCTCACCCACCCACCCATCCAGCCACTCACCCACCCACTCACCCACCCTCTCACCCACCCACCCATGCAGCTACTCACCCACCCTCTCACCCACCCACCCATCCAGCCACTCACCCACCCTCTCACCCACCCACCAATCCAGCCACTCACCCACCCTCTCACCCACCCACCCATCCAGCCACTCACCCACCCTTTCAACCATTCAACCATTCACCCACAAATCCAGGCTGTTGGCAACCTACGGATCCGGAGCCGCATGCACCTCTTTGAGAACCGCTTCATGACGTTATCTGTTACCACCGTCTCGTATTCACCACTTGCATTGCAGATCTTGAAATACTACATTATTACCAAATTCGGGAAATACATAGCTCTTCATGTTATTTTGGTTGCCGACCCCTGCACATGACCCAACCACTCACCCACTCACCCACCCCCTTTCAACTATTCTCCCATTAACCCGACCACTCAGTGACTCACCCACCCACTCACTCACTTACCGGGTGCTGGAGCGATCACGATCTTGTATCCCGAAATCTTCCCCGTCGGAGCCTTCCACACCATCTGCACATTGTTGTCTTTCAGGAACTTGAATCGGAGGTTCTTTGGTGCCAAAACTAGCCCCCGGTGAAGAAAACATACGGCACGACCAGGTTAGCGTTCACGCAAAGGAACAGTCAACATTTGCCCGGCCCAACATACAGCGCCGTCACTTGCGTTGTCGTCTTAGCATTCAAATTTGCGGCGGAATGAGAATTGGTGCGGTGGTTTTTGGGCCCTGCGCTATGAGCCCGGCGTTTTCAGATAAATTCCCGGCCACGGCTAACATCAGTGGCGAGTGATGTCTGCAACGCACCTGAGTCACCTTACCTGGCTCCACTCAGAACAATGAGCACTGACCGGCGTGATGAAGTATGGTCAAACAACATCGACGACCGGCACGGAGTATCGAAGTCTTCATCCAGCAGCAGATGTTCAATGGGCTCTAAATTATCATCGTTTTTTTATTATAAATGCTGTAATCATTAACAATTCTAACAATCCAAAGCCCTAGCCTACTGCCAGATTTGTTATGTCCTGTGCGTGTTTTGACATCTTTGTGTTGCTCAGTCTGCCAGGAGGCTGTGTTTTTTTTTCATATTTCATTCAGCCGAAAACATGTTGTTCTCCAAATCTCAAATTAATCCATTCACTCTCTGCCGCTGGAAAAAATATCAACATGACATCACAACACCACTGGTTTGAGCATCAAAGAAATGTGCTCGTGAGCCTGCTCAACGTCCTCGAGATACAAATAGTTTTGGTTTTGTTTCTCCCATAAAAATTCCAAATTGCCACTGACCAAACCGCTCGGCACGCACCCGATGTGTCATCAGGTCTCAGAGGCTAAGCAGGAGCCAAGCCTGGAGAGTTCGTGGATGTTTGAACATCAACCCCACCAGGCTGTCACAGTAGCTGTGATCAAATAAAACCTGCAATGGGGAGAGAGAGAGAACAGAAAGGCTTTCCATTCTTTGAAATCGGCTTTAGTGCTCTCTGACATTATTACGGTACCCTCATTGTGCACGTTGGCGTAGCTGTCATTCCCTGTGGATGTTCACTTATCCGACCATTTCACATATCCACTTGTACCGCCAGTCCCCCCCGTCCCTCCCCAGAGGGTGGGATACGCGACGTGGCAGCATACTCAGTGCGGAGAGCCCACCCCGCTCTCTTACGTGGTGCCGCGTGCGTGGGAGGGATGCCATAAACTTCCCGAGTGGGATGATTCCGTTCAAAGGGCTTCCTCGTCTATTATTATACACTTATTCGTGTTTGTTTTTTGGAACCCGCCAGCGACCATCACCACCCGACTGGACGACATCGCGTCTGACTCACACGGTAACTCACGGCACATTTGACAAACGGCACCTGCCGGGCCACTGCAAACAATCGCAAGCATAAAAGGAAAAAAAAAAAATTTGTCCCCATATTTTTTTGTTCTGACATCACGAGACCACATGAGGAACCCGTTCATGCGACCGGCAGAAAATAATTTCAGAACACCCATCGAAGCTTCCAGTCTTCACAGACACTTATCAAATGCATTTCAATGTTGTTGTTATTAAGTGGCTTAGTGTTAAAGATGCCACCATCATCATCATAATCATCATCATAATCATCATCATCGTCAGCAGCATCATCGTCGTCGTCACCATCATCGTCATAATCATCGTCACTACCGTCATCACGTGGTATTTATGCTGCACCTCTCGTTCAGTACATTTCTAGGTGCCCTGCACCAGAGGAGACTTCCCCAGTGGCAGCTATCCCTGTGTGCTACCAGGAAAACGCAGCACCTGGAAGTTGTGTCGTATGGACACCGATAGACTCATCGTGGGACCCACGTGCTCGCAAAGAGATTGCGAGACTCACGAGGGATCTTCCATCTCCTCCGCCAATGACCGTCCGCCTCGGTCTGTACAAAATGAGCACGTCCTTGATATTGCGATTGCTACGTGAATCCACACTGTGTTACAATGAACCAGGTGGGTCCAATGCTCGCTGAGATCCAAGATGCAGACAGCACAACTGGGAGATAGTTGGTAGCAGGGAATTCCCGATAAAAAAGTGCTTTGTTCCCCAGGAAACACAGTTAAAGCACCAACCCCGCCTTCTCCCCAAGAGAAGCTTGACTCTCACGGGAGTTTGCCAATGCGTTAGATTTACAGCTGAAACGTGGGAACATCTACAGGCAGCTGGAGAATGTAGCCACTACAACGTCCTGCTGGCGTTTGTAAAATGTTTAAAGTGAGCCGATGTAAGTCCAGGTTCCAGAATTTCCCACCCTCCTCTGTCTACTTCTTTCTCTTTTCGATTTAAAGCTTCTTTCGTGACTGCAGGGATTCATATTCTTGGTTCTTTCGGTAAAGTCACGTCGTAGGGAAATAATAAAATAATAAAAAAATACCAAATAAAATAACTAAATTCTCACGACGTTTCGATTGCAACACAAGCAATCATCATCAGGTGTGGAAAACCACAGCAAGAAAAAAACGTATTTCTCTCCATAACAAGAATATACGTTGATGCGTCTCCCTCTCTGCCTGCATCTTGTAATGCTCTCGTGTCCTACATATTATAGTCGCTCTGCAATCGGGGCCGGTTTAACCCTCAGGCCAATGAGGCTTTAAGGGCCTCGTATTTTGTAGGCCCTCCTTACGGCCTTCCGTTCAACGTTGAAGTAATAGCTGAGCGACGACAGCGCGGCCATCGGACCGATTTTTTTTGTTTTTGAATTACGATGACGTCATTCGTGACTTTCATGCCACAGCTATAGCTGGGGGGAAAAAATGTGTTTTAAGAAGTGAGTGCAGAGAGCTATTTAAGTGTGATGAAGCAATACCCGAGGGATGCTGCCGTGGTTGTAACGGTGAGCACATGGGCTCGCAATACACAGGGCGCAGGTTCGATTCCATCTATTGGCACGGCGGTTAAAACAAAAGGTGCAAGTTTCTGAAACTCTCCCTCCCGCCCCCTAACTCTCTCCGGCCTCTATGCACCCAGCAGTATAAATTCCTACACCACAACGAGTCCAATCCACACTCCCCGCTCTTACAAGACATTGGCCAGCGTGGAAGAGAGAGGCCAAAATACTCACGAGGGGCTCTCTCGAAGCTCCCTGAAGATCCTCGCGCGGAAGTGCTTCCGGCCGGCAGTGGCTTTAGCAGGCAATTCATTTTTTTTTTCATTTAACCAGCTAAGGCCCACTGAGCTATATAGTTCTTTTAGCAGAAGCAACCTGGCCACAAATGATCGCTCAATGAAGTGGCTTATCACGTGGAAATGTATCGCAGCCAAATAATGATGTTGATTCTAAATGTGAAGGGAAAAACTGGAGAACCCAGAGAAAAATCCACGTGAACCACGAGGTGGAGAGAGACATGCAAACTCCAAATATACAGCAGGAGTCAGAGTCGGGATCGAACCCACGACCTCCTGTATACCGGGCGAGGTAGTTAACATCTCCTAGCCACCGTAATGCCCAACTACGGGACCAGCGCCTTTACCCTCTTCACATTGAAGTCCACAATTGCACCGTTTTGCGCTGTGAGGACGCTCGTGGCGGCCGGCGTCTCTCTTTACCTTGCGAGTGAACGACGCAGACGGAGAGGCTGGCGACCAAGGCGGCGGTGACGAGGAGGGAGACGTCCACCCTCATCATGCCCGGGTCGGTGGGGCGGGGCAGAAAAGGAGGTGGTCGAAGAGGTGTGTTCACCTCTTTTCAGCCGGCACCCTCCTCCTCCTGCCAGCCACAAACCACAGCCAGTTAAAATAGACCGTCGTCGGACGCGCACGAAGACAACGCGCACGTACACAACGCGCACGTACACAACGCGCACGTACACAACGCGCACGTACACAACGCGCACGTACACAACGCGCACGTACACAACGCGCACGTACACAACGCGCACGTACACAACGCGCACGTACACAACGCGCACGTACACAACGCGCACGTACACAACGCGCACGTACACAACGCGCACGTACACAACGCGCACGTACACAACACACCCATGCAGGTTCTGTTCGGCCAGACAGAGGGGGTTAGACGGGCATGGCACGGGATGGGGATGAGGTGAGCTGATGCGGTACAGGAGGATGTGGAGCTGAGTGGGCTTGCCGATGGCTGGTACCGGCGGTGTCAAGATCGGCCTCTGTGGAGGAGGCTCGTGAATGACGCTACTGGGCAGTTGGGAGGAAGTCGCCCTCCAGCAACAA